AACAGATACGCACGCATCAGTAGAAGAATTCTTGGACGCGTCAATTTTTATGCAGCTCTTGTCATATCAAATGAAAGCAGGCGGTTAGTTTTCTCACAACTTTTTGTTATTTAATATAAAATTGAATTATCATAATACAGAACATGCTTAAGATTTTACGATAGATTTTACGAAAGTGAAAAAAGAAATAGATTGTGTGGCACGTGTGCTAAACTTTAACTGTCGTTTTTAGTTCCTGCGTTTGGTTCAGTATTTATTGGATCAGAACAGAAATAGTATAAATGAATACAAAGCCAGTGAACTTTGTAATTAACTCAATGGAGCTGAGTCGTTTTATAGAAGCTAATAGCAAATCAGTGGATCAAGGAATTCCCCGTCTTCTGCGGAACCGGAAGGACCATTACTGTGTTCACAAGGTCCCGCCACTGAACCCTAACCTGAACCCAATGAATCATCGAACTTCCTGTGCTCCAAATATTAAAGGAAATTTCTTCACATTATGAGCAGAAAGAACTACTTTTATCTTTCTTGAGAATATCGCTACTTTTTTTATTTGAAGCGAGCCCGTTTCTTGTAATTATGTACATAACTCATTTCATAATATTCTCCTTACTTCCGACACCAATTTTTAATTTTTTTTTGTGCAGTGGAATCCCCAGTGTCCTACTTAATTCCACAATGAAGAAAATGAGAATTGTTAGGGTCTACTTATTACAAAGTCCAAGGTGTGTGCTCATTTCGAAAGCACAGTACAATAAATCACGTAACTTCTTCTTTAATACCGTGTTATAGAGGTGTATTACTAATCTAAAATGTATGCTTTCCGAAGTGTGAGTCGCATAATCCTTTGCAGATAAACAAGATAGGGTGATTACACTTGAATGAACGCGTAATGATATATTTGTGCTTTTGAAGCACGCTGTAGCGTAGTTGGTTGAGGCACTATGCTACAAGCCGGATGGTCGTGGGTTCGAGTTCCGATTGGGTGTATTTTTTCCAATGTACCTAATACTTCCAGCAGCACTATGGCCCTGGAGTCGACTCAGCCTCTAACAGAAATGAGTACCAGGAATCTTCCTGGGGGTAAAGACTGACAGCCTCACCGCCATCTGTGAGCCGATTGTCTAGAAAATATGGGGAACCTCGACGTTTCACAACCCTGTGGGCCTCCGCGGCCTGTTAACAGGGATAGCTTTTCAGTTAGCATTCATATCTTTAAGGTCCATTATAATAGTATTTATATGTGTGGTATTTATATAACTAATTGTTCTAGAAATATATATTTTTATATTCAGTTCATATTTCACGGTTTAAGCGTACACTTGGCCCACTTCAGTACCTCCCAAAAGGAAAGCTTTTGTATTATTATTCATAGTGGTGTGAGACTTAGTCCACTTGGTACTGCGGCCACTTCTGGCTTATTGTACCAGCCCCAGATGATAGGTGAGGGTGATTGTGGAGCAATTGTTGGAATGAATATTGACAGGGGAAACCGAAGTACTCGGAGAAAACCTGTCCCAGTGCCACTTTGTTCACCACAAATCCCATTTGACCAGACCCGGGATTGAACCCGTGGCCGTCGCGGTGGGTAGCCAGCGGCTAACCGCTCGGGCTATGGCACGGCCTAAGGACACTGTTAATGAAACATTATGGTAAGACTCAATTATGAGCCATTGCTAGCTTCAGAGTGACAGGAATATGATTCTTTTCAAATCTCTAAATTAATATCAGATTAAGATGCTTGTGCGAATGACATTTAGTATGAAGAGTCAATTTTGCTAATGTTCATTCATTTTACATTGAAGTATAACAGTTATTCATTTTGTAACTCATTTCGGAAGGTTGCTTTCCATTTAATGTCTTGTTTCGATTTGTAATAGTAGCTAATGCCTTATATTTAGTTTTATCGACGTTGGTAGAACTGTCTTTGTTAAAGGTATAGAATATAACTAATTGAATGATGCCTAAGTTTTTCTTAAAAAGGTGTAAGTAATCCTTTGTTACAAAACTTGTCTGTGACATATTTCAATGTTACCTAATAAGAAACTAATGTAATTTTCAACAGAAGGGGGGCAGGAGTTGAAGTTTTATGTGCTATTTTTTTTTCTTGGCACTACAGCCCCAGTGGGCCTAGTCCTACCTCCATGAACTTCTCCGTTCACTTCGGTTTTTTCTTGATCTTACACATTCTGTACGACTCCTTGGGCGGGTGATCAGCTCGTCGCAAGGCCTCTACCTGTACACAAACACAGAAAAACGCACACACACAAACTAAACATCCATGCCCTGAGCGGGATTCGAACCCACGATCCCGGTTTCCAAGCGAGCGAAGACAGTACATGCCTTAGACCACTCGGCTACCATGACCGACTTCTGTGCTATTACCCAACTATAATTCGAATGCAAGTCAGTGATTAATCAGCTGTGTTTATTTTAAATTTTATAACATATAATACAAAATATAGCCAACTCCTGCTTATATTAAATTACGAAGCTGTCAAATTAAGTATTTTTGGGCACTAATATCATCGAAATCATTTGAAAGATAGACACTTCGTGTTGTTTACATCGCTTATGATAGTCCTCACATTTTGATCCCAGTTTGTTGTTTGAGCCCTGTCCATATTTTAACCTACACGGCATTGCGAAACAATATTCGAAATATGAAGTATATATTAATTTAAATACGAATTCCTGGAAGTAAATTATAAAAGCAAATTGAAACGTGGGGAATCAAGGACAGCCGGGACCAACACATTCCCATGCCATCAGAATCATTGTGTGTGTGTCGTCAGCAGCCAATAGTAGCTGCGCTCTTATTCGATTTCATTTAAAGTCCACATGTTTATTCAAAATTGTTGTGCCGAAAATTGCAGCTACGTGCCGCAGCTCGGTGGCCGAAAAGCTTTATATTTCTGGGTGGATATCGAGACTACTATTGTGCTTATCGAGTTTCTTCAGTTTCCCCATTAAGTGTAATGAAAATTGGTCACGACCTCTTCCTTCCACATCGTTCCCGAACCGCTATATATCCGTATCATCTAATTTCGTACTACGTGTGATATATAATTTGTTTCGTTACTGTCTGCATATAAAATGGCTACGGGCCGGACGACCGAGGGGTCGGAGTTCGAATCCTGGTAGGGTCAAGAATTTTCTCTTCACCACGGCGTCCAGTCCGGCTTTGGGGTTCACCCAACCTCCTATCCACTGGCTAACGGGAGATATTTTCCCGGGGGTAAAGCGGTCGGGGCGTGAAACTGATTGCTCATCTCCAACTAGTACCGAAGTCAAGAAAATATGGATCTATACATTCACTCCCCCATACGTCTTCATGGCATAGTGCTTAAGTAGCACAGGAAGAACTTCATCTTTTACTGTCTCTAAATAATCTTAGGTCGGTCACGGTAGCCGAACGGTTTAAGTCATGAACTGTTCTCGCTCGCTCGGAAGCCGGGATCGTGAGTTTGAATCCCACTCAGGGCATGGATATTTGGTGTTCATGTGTTTATGTGCTTTTTTCTGTTTTTGTACAGGTAGAGGCCTTGCGACGAGATGATCACCCGTCCAAAGGGTCCTACCGAATATCTAAGATCTAGTAAACAGAAGTGAAATGGAGAGTTTCATAGAGGTAGGCTAAGGCCAAAATTTGGGTTGAAGAGCCAAAAGAAAAAAATCTTAGAAGCAATGAAGAAAATGGACAAATATGAGAATACTCTTGCCCATAAAAGACGTTGTTCAGGTGATTTAAATATTTTGGTTAAATTTCTTCACAGTCGCCGGTGCCACCTGTGAATATTGTTTGTTCATCTACAGAATCACAATTTATACTCAAACAAGAGAAATATTCATAGAGCCGACCTTCAGTCTTTTCGGTACTTGTGCTGATCGTCCTTTGGCGATACTTCTAAAATACTCAGAGCCTCGTTAAATTTTTATACTTGACTGCTTCAAATGAATGGGTGACGTTAACAATTAAAATGTAGCAGAACTGCCTTCTTTAGAAACGCTGGAAGAGCAAGGAGTAATTAAGGAAGTTAGTAGTATCGCGTCATTTTGACTGGAATAGCAAACAGAAAATTGAAAAAGAATTAGTTGTATGAAGTTAAAACAAAAAACAAAGAAAGGTACCAGCAGGAGAGTTCAGTAACGTCTCAGGTATTTAAAGGTCTCTACTAGAACACAAGGGCATGATAATTAAAACTCGAATTTAGTGTTTATTAATAAAATGGGGGAGTTCGGAGCAGTTTGTTTAGACCTGCATAAATATTGTTCACCTTCATTATTCGTTACTTAATGAGGAAGAAATTCGGAGCCACGTCACCATATATTGATAACGTTTTGAAGAAAAGGTGTTTATTTATTACCTTCATTACATGATGTGTAAATGTTGAACAAAAATTCCGAAGTTGGTTCTGGATAATTTTTACACTTTACATATTCTGAAATGTATACTATGTTTGATTATGTCTTGACAAATGCGGCAGCGTAGTTGGTTGAGGCACTATGCTCAAGCCGTAAGATCGCCGGTTCGAGTCCAGATGAGGTGGATTTTTTCCAATTTAACTAATCCTTGCAGCCGCACTATGGCCCTGGGGTCGACTCACTATCTAACAGAAATTAGTACCAAGAATATTCCTGAGGGTAAAGAGCGCATAAGGCTAACAACAAACCGATTGTCTAGACAAAATATGGGAGCCTCGACGTCTCACAACCTTATGGGCCTTCATGGCCTGTTACTGGGACAGCTTTACCCTTACCTTACCTGGATTAATGCGTGTCGTAAACGTTAGTTTGAGATCTTAATGAAATCAATTTTGCATATAAAAGAAAGCTCCGAGCATCAATTTAATCCTTAAGCCAGCGAACTAACTCTGTCCTTTTCGCCGTTTAGAATAAAACTCTCTTTAGGATTGATTTTATGGCATTCTTGGTGAGCACTCCTCTGTCTGTTGATCACTTCGTTTTATTGCTTCGCTTTTTTAATGATATGTTCACAGACCCGCCGCAGGTGACGCTCCAGTTAGGCAACAAGCTCAACCCTGACACCATCAAGGAGAATGACGACGTGTACTTCGAGTGCAACATCCGAGCCAACCCCAAGAAATACAAAATCACGTGGTTACACAATGTGAGTATATGTATTAAGCATATTCCTTCATTTTTAGGCTGTAATGTAAACATCCCTATTGGGGATCCAATGAGTTCATCGTGAGAATATAATATTAAAACAGTTGTTTCATAGCTGTAACACAACGCAGCTAATTTCCGTTACAAAAATATTGCTTGCTAATATTTTTAAAATGTATTTTTCCTTAGCTTAATTTTCTAAGAAAAATACTGTCACATGCGTAGTTACTGGACGTCAGCTGAAAGTTAAATATTGAAGTAGCCACCTGCTCACGCTGGTTTCTCGCTCGCCGATTTTTATGCCCTGAAGATGGAGGCGATGCGTTCCTCCGAAACGTCGGGTTACACAATATCTACACGGCGCCACATTCCAGAAGACGACATTCTTCATAGTCACTGCCATGAAAAACTCAAATATTACGTTATGAGAAATGGTGGTTTTTATATAGGATATCGACGGAATGTTTGTTACTAGGGAGCCAGAGAATTACAATCAATCATCTCGTCTTTATCAGTAAGAAAACAGTTCTGGCTGACAACCTTATATCCTGTTCCTTTAGGATTGGTTTTAATGTTGTCCGCAAGACCACAGTCCGAGCTGGAACCAGCTATAATCTCTTTCATTATTTTATCATGTTTTCTTACAAGAGGACCGCCTCTGTGGTCTAGTGGTCAGAGTTTCTGGCTACAGATCCAGAGGTCCGGCTTCGATTCCCGGCGCTACCAGGTTTACTGAGAAGTAGTGGGTCTAGAACGGGGTCAACTCAGCCTCGTCAGGATAATTGAGGAGCTGTTTCAAGGAAATAACGGGTCCGGTCTAGAAATCCGAAATTAATGACCGTGGGGATTCGTTGCGCTGACTACGCAACACCCTCTATCCGCTAAAATTTGCAATAACTTCGCCGACAATCGGCAGTTGCTCGGTCGGTATAGTTCGCTTGCGTACTAAAAACCACGGGGTTATTTTTTTCTTACACGAGTTTTAGGACATAATTTGACAGTAAACAGTTAAATAATAAAAAATATACAGCAATAAATTTTTTTTTAGTGTTCCCATATAGTGTAAATTTGTGTCCCATCAGTTAACATACTGGAGGAGACAGACGGTTCTTGATCTTTACTTGGCATGCCCAATAAAAAGCGTGACTGAACATCAGTTCATTTTGTGACATCAAGAAGAGGAGGAGGAGGAGGAGGAAGAAGAAGAAGCTGCACCCAGGGAACCATAATATTTTCTTCAATTTTATGCGAATGCACAAGATAGAAACACATACATCGACAGTAAAAAATATCCAACTATGGCGTGTTTCGAAACCGGGATCTCGTTCGAGAGCAGAGAGTCGTATGGAATGTGTCCCAAGAGAAGAGATATCAGTTCCCCTGACGTTTATCCAAAACTTATCTTTAAAAGGACCGTACCGAGTATGCAGCCCATATGGTCTTCCTATTTTTCACTTTTGCCTTCCAGACTTTTGTGTTATGCTTAAGTGTGACATGATGGGAGGAAGTCTGTGGTTTGAAGGAACAATAATTGGATCTTAAAAACTAAACCCGCTTCGAAATTTATCTCGTAAGAATTTAATGGAGGAAAGGGAGACAGTTAAGGGGAAAATAATATGAAAATACATTGATTTACATTACGTCTGTTTGTTTTATTAATTCGCTTAGTGGGGGGTGGAGACCAACTGGGTCCACTTGGCACGGCTGCCACTGATTGGCCTATTGTAGCTTGACCTGGGTGATTATGATGATGGAGATTTTGATGGAATGAAGATTGGTAGGGGAAACCGAAGTACTCGGAGACAACCCACCCCAGCGCCACTTTGTCCACCATAAATTCCGCTTGTCCAGACCCCGGGATCGAACCCGGGCCGCCGCCGTGGGAAGCCAGCGACTAATCGCTTGAGATATGGCGCGGCCTTTACATTATATTACCCTTAATAGATACATTTTACACTCCCTATTCACCAGCTTTTTCTCAAAGCACCAGTGACGCACTTCTGTCTTCATTACATTTCGTGTCCCAAAATTAGGTTTAAATTAGGCACGACTCACGGACCTTCAGATTCCTGACTATGGATCTACCGGTGACGTATCTTCCGCTACTTTACTGTTCGATTATTTGGAAAACAGAATAAAATTCTGATTTACTTCAAGAATTGCAGGGACGACTTTTATAACAATTTAAAGTAAATAGAACGATGTCTGATTCTTCTCGTAAGCCATAGAACTATTTACTTCCTACATGACCAAAACCCCCTTTATTGACGAGTGAATAATTTTGGGAAATGGCCGTTACTGAGAACTGGAATGATCAGTTTCATTTATAAGCATAAATTATTTTTTTTATTTTATTTATTTAGCTTAAATCTTTTTACCAGCAAATTGGACTTAAATTTGAGGAAGAAACTAGTGAAATGCTACATTTGGAGCATAGCTCTGTATGGGGCTGAAACATGGACACTTAGGGCAGTAGATCAGAAACATCTGGAAAGTTTCGAAATGTGGTGTTGGAGAAGAATGGAGAAGATCAGTTGGACCGATTATGTGAGAAATGAAGAAGTGTTAATTAGAGTCAGTGAGCAGAGGAATATCCTACATGAAATAAGAAAACGGAAGGCTAATAGGATTGGTCATGTTTTACGCAGAAACTGCCTTCTAAAAGAAGCTATCGAAGGAGAGATAGATGGGCGGATAGAAGTGACAAGAAGACGAGGAAGAAGACGTAAGAAGATGCTGGATGACCTTGGGGACAGAAGAGGATACTGTCATTTGAAGGAGAAAGCTCTAGATCGCATTACGTGGAGGAATTGTTTTGAAAGAGACTGTGGACCTGTCGTCTTGACAGATTACTGATGATGATGATGATTTATTTAGCCTACATCTTGAGGAATGGAAGTTATTTCTTCAGCGTTAAATGCGTTGAAAAGAAACTATTCACATTTTATGCCATTACTTTAGTAATATCTCGTATTTAATTTGATGTAGAAGAAAAATTACACAATTTTGCTTAGGTTATTAAAATAAACATAAAGGATAAGGGGAACATGTTCGGAGTTTTCATATTCTGAACAATATGTTATGGATTTGTTGATTAACGGTCATCATGACCCAAAATATATGAATCGTATGAAATCCTTACATTCTTATAATTCATTAATGTTTTGGGGAAATGAATATATTTGTTCAATAATTACAAGGATAAATGTGTTGTTGTGACATAAAATTTGCATTTTTACCACTGAGTTATACAAATTTCTCTTATCTCTCAATGAGGCCAATCGAATATTTGATGTGTTAAGACACTGCACTGGCCTGATTTTTTCTGAAGTAAATTTTGACTTGATAAAGATGAATTTGTATAAGAAAAATACGTAGGCTTGGCCAAATTGCGGCCTGCGGAGATTTTATTCGAGAGCACTGCGTGTACAGACGTTAATACAAGGATTTCTGGTAGTGGGTCATTTCCGCAATATGAAATGAAAGAAAAAAGTATTATAATCGCAAGAAAATAAAAAAACGGGCAGACTTTATATTTACTCTTTTAATTCGCTATATCCAGCGTGCAGAAAGTCTAGTAGGGTCCATTACATATTCTGTTTAATGCATATCTCATCACCTTAAGAACACGAATCATAGTCGGTACGTCCAGTGCGAAATAATTATTAATTATGAGAGTAGGCTAACGCTTACTGGCATTTATGTGAGCGTAGCGTATATCAATGCAGTGCATTTCTTTCACAATATCTGAGGCCTTCCGGCTCATGGTCAGTTTTTTAAACAATCCATCCGCCCCCTGCCTTTCTTAAACATTTATTTCTCCTATATGAAGATAAAGAAGGGGTACGCAGTAGCGTAGTTGGTTGAGGCATTATGCTACTAGCCGGAAGGTCGCGGGCTCGACTCCCAATGAGGTGGAATTTTTCACTTTACCTAATCCTTCCAGCCGCACTCTGGCCCTCGGATCGACTCAGCCTCTAACAGAAATGAGTACCAGGAATCTTCTTGGGGTGTAAATGGCGGACGGCGCTTAAGGCTGGCAACCTTACTGCCATCTATGGGCTGATTGTCTAGAAGATGTGAGAGCCTCAACGTCTCACAACCCTATGGACCTCCACGGCCTGCTACAGGGATACCTTTACCTTTTTTATGTGAAGATTAAGAAGGTAAATGTGAAAGCCAAAGTTGTCCCTGTGCTTAAATAAACACCATGCGTTGAAAACGTATGGAGGAGTGGAGATATATCTCCATCATTCTTAACCTCGGCTCTAGATGGAGGTAAGTGGTCAGCTTCACGCCCCAGTCGCTTTAACACCAGGAAAGAAGCCCCGGTACAAACTGCATCTGAGGCTGGGTGGGCTGCAGAACCGGCCTGGACACTGTGAAATAGAGAAAAATCTATTCCATCCCTTAGCCCGTCACTGTACAGTTTGTGCTATCCCGGCTTCTAACGATTAAGAATATACTTTGGCATAATAGTCACGAATTACGAGCCGGGAATGGAACGTGTCACTAAGTGAGGAAATTTGTTACTTGCGTCTCTGTGCTTCAATGTTAAATCGTTTAGAAAAATGTCGTTGATGAAATAAACAAAATATATGTACAGTCTTTTGGTGGTGGGTCCTTCCTAGGTATTTAAGGAGAAAAACGGGACTAAAATGCGACAACAATTTTAAATGTTAATATTGTTATCAGATCAAATTATATATTGTAACAGATTTGATCAACGCGTTGCTAGGCAGCAGCTCTGTAAACATGGTCCAAAACGCAAAAATAAAGGAACTTATGTCTTCCCTGTCCGCGGTGACGTCACAACAGTGGATAGTGATCACGTGACATGGGTTTTCTGTAGTTCAGACCGACGCGCCAATTGGCTGGCTGGATAGCGATCGCGTGTTATGTGTTTACTATAGATCCATGTCCGTCCCTCAGTTACGTAAGTAAAGCAGTTACAAGTTACAAAATAATAGCGACAGAAGAAAGCGAACAAGCAAGCAAGGAGTTAGCCACAGGAGGTTCGTAGTTGAAGAACAACTAGAAGTCAGCCTGTGAATATTAACGTATGATTAGAAGAATTTATTTATGTGTAATATTTGGAGTGTGTAATTCAGTGAGACCGTTATAGTTCCTGTGTTATAAACCCGTGAAGACTAGTATAGAAGGACTGAAGAGATTAGTGTGGAGTGATTGTACGTTGTGTAAAGTAACGCTAATATAAAATTAATTGTAGTTGCGACTTTTAGGTTATTAATAAATCCAAATACCAATCCAACTATGGTCACTATGACATGTGAAAATATTAATATTATTATTAAATAGAATGATAGGTTCCGTGGTTGTGGGCTATATTGAACTTGCTTGGCTCTTTCAAGTAAAAGCCCCTTATTTGTAGTTTACTGTATACTTCACAATGTCCCAGTTTTCTCCTCTGTGGGTAACAGAAGCGCCTGCTTCCTAGTAAAAGCGACCAAACGTGAATCCAGCCTCTCGCTTTCGACCATTGTCATTTCTGAGAATGAATTAACTTTGATTAAACGAGCCCTTTACTCCTTGGTGTACTCATGATTTTCCTTTTAACATTTATCCCTAATGGGTTACCGTTTCTCCGAATCTTGTCTGTGATCTCAGCAGATACTGACTTCAGAAAATTACAAATATAATGCAGAGAGGCGACTTGATTTTGAGATCATTATCGGGTATGAAAATATAGGAGTCAAGGAAATGTCTTGCACATTTTAAGCAGAATAGCCATCTTCAATCCTTAACCAATATGCATGGGGAAATTTGAACGTAAACCTTGTTTATTATAACCATATTTATTCCTATACGAATTGGTAAAGGAGAGCTGGAATAGCTCAGCCGGTGTAATTGCCAGCTGGACGGCCATGATTCGATTCCAGGCATAGCGTTAATACCGGCTCTCGGGCCCGCCCACCCTCCTATACAATGGGCACCGGAGATTCTCTCTCTGGGAATAAAGCGGCAGTGTCTCGAAGCTGGCCACTCACCTAGGTCCAGTTCCGAGGTCAAGAATGGTAAAGCTATGTCACCACTCTCATTTATTATTTCATGGCATGGCGCTTAATTCATTAAACGCCGGGAAAATTTTACCTTTAGACGAATTTATTATTGTACCCTCCGGTATTCTAAATTTTTACAAAAATGGGAAAAAATACGTCCTAATTATGAACATGTGACACTAATCATCATATTTTAATTACCTAGAACTAAAAATGAACATGAAATTTGTAATTAAAATATGGATTAGGAACTATATATATATATATATCAAGTATACTGGTCAGTAACCTGTCGTTTCTTCCATCAGTCTTTGTTGTTGATACAAATAAATCTTAATTAAATAAATTACAAAATTTTGTTTCAAATTTCCGTCCAAAATGGGATTCTCTCTTGTATCAGTTTCAGGAATATTCCAAGATGATTATTAACTGTTATATTTTATGATCGATTGTTTCTCAGTTAACGGGTTGGCATAGCGGTAAAGATCTCATCTATTACTAGGGAAGTGCATGGTTCGAATCTCGGACGGGGCACTTACTATCCTGGCTGAGGCGTTTCATAATTATCCGTAGTCCTTTCAGGCAAATATCAGGTTCATACCCCCATCAGGCCACCACCACTTCCTTCCAAATCCCTGTCAATTAATTATTCACTTATCAGTCTACGCCATATAATCCTGCTATTGCCAGAATCGTATAATACAAAAATAAGTGATTCTAACTGAAGCTATTTAATTATACTGTTTCACTTGCAGTCGTTATATGGCGTGAAATATTGTGACATAACGCCTGAAAGCCGCAACAGTGGAAGCAGAGCCAGGCGCCAATTGCTAGATAACGGCTCGGTAAACGCGTTTCCACAGCAACGAATACGACTGAAGAAGCAATGCATTGCATGCAAGGTCACTTCAATTCCTAGTCAACGCATATAAAAACGTTTCCGTTCACGCGGCAACGAACCGCCAAAGCACAGTAACAGCGAGGAACGCGATAACTCGACTGTTGAAGGAGGTGATTACCATGGGGTTCGACCAGAACCTACCTCAGGGAGAGAACTGGCCAACAGAAGACAAACGGAAGTCAGAAGTGAAATCTTTAATATTAGAGTCAATTTTACCGACCACATAACATATTTTTATTATTATTACACTACATGTTTCGACCTCAAGAGGTCATCCTCAGGTGTACGAACACAGCTGTATAATTACACGCAATGACATTCGTCTTTTCACTTATTCCTTCCTGTATCTTATTCAGGCCCACGTTCAATAATATATCAAGCTCCTCTGACAAAACACAAGTTAAAATATTATTCTAAATGTCAAAAGTTAAAATTTAAAATTTGCGAATCGAATTTCAATTCAGATCACTAGTTATGCTTTCACTTTCACTTGTTATTCAGTCACTTCCTACTTACGCTCATCACTGCGTCAAGTTCACTTTAACTAGTTTTAATTATATTATTGGTTAAAAAGTTCATGATATATTATTGAGCGTGGACCTGAATAAGATACAGGATCGAATAAGTGAAAAGACGAATGTCATTGCGTGTAATTATACAGCTGTGTTCGTACACCTGAGGATGACCTCTTGAGGTCGAAAAATGTAGTGTAATAATAATAAAAATATGTTGTGTGGTCGGTAAAATTGACTCTAATATTAATTAAATACACAACAGGATGCAAGAAGCAATTAAAGTGAAATCTTTATTTTACACTATGTGGTGTAGCAATAGTATAGTTATAGGAACCTTTAGAGTGTTATCATTGTTCGTAATTACGAAGTGTTATAATTACAGTATGATTGTGTTACAACTAATTGCAGTTCTTCCTGGTGAATATCCAATAAATCGACTAATCTAATTCGGAACCCATTAATTAACTGTCGCGTTACCAGGATACATGACAATATGATGGAAGATTATTATAAATAAAGATTATGTATTTGGAAGACCACCTCTGTGGTCTAGTGGTCAGAGTTCCTGGCTACAGATTCAGAGGTCCGGGTTCGATTCCCGGGGCTACCACATTTTCTGAGAAGTAGTGGGTCTAGAACGGGGTCCACTCAGCCTCGTGAGGATAATTGGGGAGCTACTTAAATGGAAAACTAGCAACTCCAGTCTAGAAAACCGAGATAAACGGCCGTGGGGATCCGTTGCGCTGACCACGCGACACCCTCTATCCGCTAAAGTTGGCACTAACTTCGCCGACAAGCGGCGGTCACTCTTTCTGTATAGTTCGCTTGCGGACTAAAACCACGGAATTTGTTGTTTGCTTTTTTTTTTGTACTTAGAATAAGTCGGTCATGGCCTATTTCAGGATAGTCAGGATAGGTGGTAGCGCGGCCGAGTCTCGAATCAGATGCGTCCCCAACACAATCAGTAACGCTACAGCTACAGACGTCTGCTCTGCGGTATTACAGTTAATTGTTGCACTTTACAGAACTCATCAGTAACGCAGAACATGTCATCCGGGGTGATCCTGAGTACGCAGAGTCTGGTTCTGCAGGGAGTTACCCGGCATAACGGCGGTAGCTATACGTGTCTTGCTGCTAACTCGAAAGGGGAAACCTCCAGCAAACCAGTTAACCTCAGGGTGCAATGTAAGTACATGACGTCGTTCACAATTCTGTTTTTTCAACATTGTCATCACACTATTTCTTCTGTGCTGGTTTACAGTTGAAATTCACGAACCTCTTTGAAGTACGCAAAATATTTTGGGTAGAGAAACATTCGTAATGGAGATTATTTATTTTTATTTTGCAGAAAATCCACACACAAACGCATTGGCCACTCATGGTGCTACCTGCGTCTCATCTGATAAAACAATGTTATTTCTTGCCTAAGTCCAAATTGTGGACTCTTGATGAACAGTCTAGAGCAGTTCTCTTTACTGTCAAAACGGAAATGACATTTCATTTGTCATGTAAATATTTAATTAATATTGTCATGTGATAGACTATAGGCAGGATTTGGATTAGTAATCGGATTTATTGAACACTCAGCACACTCAGTACGTGACTGCTCTTCACAGATTACAGTTGTACACAGATTAGTGTTCTCACTCTGTTACAGTGTCCTCTAGCCGTTGCTTGGTAGCGGCTTTCAACCGCTCCTCTGTTACAGGGGATTTGTTGCGTTCGTGTTTGTTGGTGGATCCGTTACTTAGAAACGGTTGTTGTATAGTTGCTAATTTCACGTTCGTTTCCTGCAATTGGTCTACATGCCAAAATATGAATGACACAGATGACATTGAATTCTGAAAGGAGATAGACGAAGCCATAAACCAGTAGTACAGATATTTGCGTATTTAGTCAGTGAGCGTGAAGGTTCCCACAGTCGTCAGAAAATAAAATATGGTGGATTTTTTTTTTCAGTTGACCTAATCCTTCCAGCCGCACTATGGCCCTGGGGTTGACTCAGCCTCTAACAGAAATGAGTACCAGGAATTAATTAAATAACTTTCCTGGGGAGTAAAGCGCGGCCAGCGCGTAAGGCTGACAAACCTTGCGGCCATCTTTGAGCCGGTTGTCTAGATAATGTGGGACCCTTAACGTCTCACAATCCTATGGGCCTTCACGGCCTGGTACAGGGATAGCTTTACTTTTTTACTTTCTTGGGAGGGCCAGCAGCATTTTGGTCGTCCAGTGAGTGTACACAGCCATGTGCAGCATGTGCATTTTTGGTATCATTGATGATAGGAAATAAAAAAAAATGTATATAAAACTAGAATTCACCGAAAGATTTTGTTAGTACATGCCATAACTCAGAAGAATAAGAAGAAAAAGGGAGATATGTAGAAGATCAGATGCAGGTACTTGAATCGAAACAACCCAGCATGACAGGTATAATACGGAGATAACTATGATGATGTTTGGATGACCTTTAGTGAGGTAATGAATGAACAGTTTGTTTTTAATCCATTATTTTCGGTAGAGCCTTATTAGAAAGACGGAGCCAGAGATGTGATGTTGCCTTAGGCCTGTGTTTCCCTGTATTCAGTGATGAAAAAAGGCTGCAACTAGTTTGAAATATAGACCTTAATATATAATATTAGGAATCGCGTTCTTGTTTTTTTGAAGTAGCACCTATGTCCTTTTGTCACACGTTGAATTTTCTGCAGTCTCTGCGATAGCAAAACCATTACTAATTTCCATTTCAGTTTCATACATATAGTCATGGAATAATACTGAGTTATGTTCATTTAAATTTTGATGCAGGAGAAGGATGACTGACGGATCTTCCTCGTCCTAAGCTAGTTAAAGTTTTTATCAAAATCTTAAACATGAGAAAGCGACGTTTCAAGCATTTCGGTGGCGCCATTCCACAAAAAACTTATAAATCATGTATGACAGAGAAAAACTTTTTTTTCTGAAGGCGTGATTTCAGATTTTTATTTGATATCTTCAGTAGATAGTGATGAATTTAGGGTTTAGTGCTCTGTAAACTTCATGTATAAAAATATAGTTGTACTGACACACTGTTAGTGATGGGGAATTACGCTTACATGTTGAAAGGGAATGCTACTTATGAATATTTAATGAAGTACTGGGCGTTTCTAAAGGATAAATCTATTGTTATTTATACTTACATTTTTTTCAGTTGCATATCATTATTCGGCACCTAACAGTATTTGTAGTTGGTTTCATGTAATTAAGTAACGTATAAAATCCAAGAGAAAATTAATTTAATCTGCATCTTTCTTCTGCATACAGAGATCAGGCTTTCTGTCCTGTTCTGATTCATAACCTTGAAACTATTTATCCTTATATAAGTCACTGAGCACTATCACGTGGATTGTAGCTACATGGACAGAACAACCAGGAAGAATAATGAAGCTGTCCATGCTTCAATTAGGATTTTAAACCGCCTTTCCCGCTTACATCACACTCCAAATGTGAATGTCCCAATCTACGCTTCGCGTTTTAATTGCATTCCTTGTACTGACATTGAATACCATACTCGTAGTATTTTAGTTTAAAGTATCTGTTGCGTATTGTGTTTCTTATTATCATCGTTACAGAGGTCCGCGCCATAGCTCAAGCGGTTAGTCGCTGACTTCCCACCGCGGCGACCCGGGTTCGATCCCGGGTCTGGTCAAATGATATTTGTGGTGGACAAAGTGGCGCTGGGTCCGGGTTCCCCCCCCCCCAATCTTCATTCCACCAAATTATCCATCATCATAATCACCCGGGGCAGGCTACAATAGGCGAATCAGTGGCCGCCGTGCCGAGTGGACCCAGTTGTACTCCACCCTCACTAAGCGAAATCATCGTTACAAGCTGTATCTTCCTGACTGTGTGTGCTTTAAGATCTTAAAACAGAAACTGACTCCAGGAATATACTGAACAATGATTCGTCAAAACGTAATCAGCTTTAAACATAAACTGTCCGGGATAGAGAATTACAAGGGAAGTTTAAAATGTTTTCGTGTGAACATTTTATATGCATCTGTTTCTTGTATTTTATGGAATAGACAATCAAAAAGTTCGATTTTTGTCCCATTTTTAACTCATAGTTACAGCTTGCATTGTTTCTTTTAATTGTGAGACACATGGAGAACGAATTCTTACAGTTGTCTAATAAATGCAAACATGGCCAACAGAAGATTCAGTTCATTATGTTATGCTTGTATTTAAGTCCAGAGTCTTATTGTTCTGCATCTTAGAACTACACATTACGAAACATAAAGTTAAATGTCAGTGTGTAATACTATATTCCTTATACAACTCTTTAATTAACCGTTACAACACAGCAAATAGTAAAACATCAAAGTCAGCGTTCAGCTGTGGCTTTGCTTATAAAAAAATAAAAATTAGCGTTGCAGTTCAATAGCTTTAGTTTTGTGTTCATGTATTTGTATATGCATCTTGCTTGACAGGCATTTATAATCTTAATTCCGTGCATCCTGCTCTGCTACAATATANCTATATTCCTTGTTACACTAAGTATTGTACAACTAAAATCTCCAGCAAGTCTAGGAGACCCTGAATGACAAGCCGCCAATATTTCCATGAAATAATCTTGAATTATTGATACAATCTGACACATGTTCTACTTGATGAATATCGAAGCCTCGCACACTGAAAAAATGTTCTGTACACGTAGAAGCATTTTCATATTCTCTTAAGAATGGAATCTTGTCTGTGCTCAGTCGCATGGAAAGCAGACAGTAGGGCAGATCGAATATATTCTAACCATTCAAACACTGCCGTGATTGCTAAGCTACAATGCAGTTATGCAATCGCTTACATTTAAATATATTTTTTAGTTGAGAGAAACTCTAAATTACTGTAGAGCTATACACGTTGTTGATCGTAGTTTTCACTGTACATATAATTAAATTGTTGCTCTGATAATTGTATGTAACAGGTGTTATACTCATTATATACATACATATATACTCATTATATACATAACATTAGTCGATCACAGTGGACGTACAGTCTAAGGCATGAAAAGCTTTCGCCAGCTTGAACGCTGGGATCATGGGTTCGAATCACACTCAAGGCATGGATGTCTGTGCTTGTTTTGTGTTCCTGTCGTCCTGTAAAGGTAGAGGCCTTGGGTTGAGCTGATCTCCCGTCTAGGGAGTCCTACCGTCTGTCTGACATTAAGTAACTGAAGTGAAACGAAGCTCGAAGTGGGAGCAACAGTAATGAATGGATGGACTGATGGACGGACGGATAAAAATACTTACTAAAATATTTGTAATTAACCTGTTTATTTTGTTTGTATCTTAACTCGTGCTTACTTTATAACTTGTCTTTGAGATATTGAGTAAGCACGTAAATAAATAAATATTTTGTTTTCTTTAACTCGTTAATGTATTATTTAACGATGCCTGGTCAGTTACATGCGTTACTTAGTAGTGATTAAGTGTAAAAAAATGCTTATTTACTTTGAACTGGAAAATGTAGAAAAGAAACGATTAAGCATTCTTATAAAACTTTGGATTGGAAACCTGCTCACCATAAGCACTCCGTATTGCCTATTTTGGAAGAAACCAAAAATGACAAAAATGTGCACAAATTTGATCAAGACTCAACTCATGTTTGGTCGAGCAAAAGCTTAACTCTCTTACGTCTTGTGTCTAGAGCGATCTGTTGCTCAGAAAGTACTAAGCAGAAAAGAGTCATTTGTTACTGGGTAATTAGAATGACCACAAAACTTCTCAATATTGAACATCGTTCCCAATTTTAAATCAGAAAACTTCTGTACTTTCGTAAAATCATCTTCTTTCCCGTGGCAAAAATTTTGGCGCATGTAAAAAATTAAGCGAAATATGTGTATACAAATATGTATAATCGTTTTTTTCAGGTGATCAGTGATCTCAATATGGATTTCGTGTCCGAAGTATCGGAGATTATCTATTTTTCCATCAACAAAATTTGATGTGATGGGTGTAGTGCTCGCATGTAATGTTCAGGCAAAAATCCACCCGTTTGATGATAAAGGAGACAGAGACAGTCTCTGGAACCCCGTACGCCAAGTCCACATCGATACGAGTGATGGCCCGAGAAGGCTTCATCTTATATTACCGCCGTGAAAGACTGAAAGCATATAGAGCTGCAATTAATTGCAGGTTCGTACATAAATATTG